TAAAAATATAATAATACAAAAATTTACATTTATTTATAATTAATTTATATAAAAAATTATAAAAATTGATATTTACATAAATTATTTTAGTTGATTGTAATTAATTTAAAGTTAATTATTAACATTTTTATAAAATAATTAAAAAATTATATTTGATGTACTTTCTATGCAGAAGAAAATTAGCTAACATATTATAAATTAAGGGTTAAAAACAAAATAATTACACTTTTAGCATAAGGAGGACTCGAACCTCTGTCTTCTCCACCAAATGCAAGATGACGCACCAATAGAACCACTGCCTGTGATATGCTAGATTTTAACATAATATTATATTTATTCATATTCAATTGACTCGGCGGTTTGAATGATTTAACCAATTAAACCGATCAAACCAAGAACCAAAGGTCAAAACAATTTGACCTCACATTCGGTTTTCAAAACACTGGTTTCAATATGATAACTATCCTTTTTTTATATCTTTAAAATTTAATATTTAATAGATTTCAATATAATTTATTAAAATACAAACAATTATATATATTAAAATTTTTTTTTATTCTTCAAGTAATAAAATTCTTATTCTTTTGGAGGTTTTTGTTATTAACAAAATTTAAATTCTTTTAGATCCTTGTAATTGTAATATCAAATGTTACATTAACTTCAAGCTGATTGTAACTGTGGAAATATTTTTAGAATGATCAATGTCATTGCATTGTTAGATGACATAAATATATATATATATATGTATATATACATGTGTATATTTGTTAGCATCATATATAAATTTATTTTTCTTACCCTTTCTTTTATCAAATTAACTCATATATTTACAAATTCAATTATTATTTTCATTATCATAAATTTCACAATTTATGGTATCACAATTTCTAATATTGAATCAAGCTAGTAAATCATGCTTTTCTTTTCTCATTGCATCTAGATACATGTATTTAAGAACTTTTAACTCAAACACCATTGTATCTTGTTGTACAATATGAGTATATATAATGTTTACTCACTTAAGGACTATTATACCTTATATCTTGTTGTACAGTATGAGTATATATATGAATGCTATTCAAAATTTTGATTAGGTATCATTGGTCTAATCACCATAATAGTACATAAGGATACCCTTTTAGATACTTCTCCATCCACATGCAATCCCCACATTAAGAGTATCATATGTGAATGCGAATCATCACAATCTCAAGATATAAATACTTTTGTGTGAAGTATTATTTTTTTACAAACGAGGGGTTGGATCAAGTGGTAAGCGGTTTGTTCCAGCTTAAGCAAGGTCTCGAGTTCGAGATCTTATGTACGCAGCAGCCCTCGCTTGGAGACTCACCCACCATTTCCAGGTGCGCGACGCGAGTCGGGTTCGGATTAGTCGGGGCGAAACCCCGGATACCGGGTGGGAAACCAACAAAAAAAAAAGAAAAAAAAAAAGAAGTATTATTTTCAAAAAAAGTATGAGATATCCAATAACACACTTTCCCTTTCTTTTCATTGTGTGATACTTGATAAAATTAGTTAATTACTTGGATGCATGACAAATACAATGACCTTTTGCATGTTACATATATAAGAAGCACTTTCACAATTATTTGTTGCCTTCTTATGTAAATCATTCCAATTTTCATATTTTTTTTTCACTATTTTCATAATTTTTAAAATTATTATAATCACCATAATGTAAAGTAGCATTATAACTACAATTATGACCATGTCCACAGCCATAATTATCATGTGATACCACATCCAATTTAGGAAATGGGAGTAAACTATTGGGTTATGATAGATGATAAAAAATTTATATTTTGTTCCATAATAAAAATACATAATGTAGTAACTCTGCATATATCTATCAATATTGCCTGCTCAATATTGCTACTATAGGAGCATATTTGAGGTATGAAAGAAGAATGTATCTTCACTATTATGTTTTCATTAATAATAATTTTATATATGAAATAATTCAAAATGTTTACATATTCATACTTGAGTAATAAATGGATCTATTCATTGCTAGTTTTTGGAACAATTGCTTCTTTTTTTTTTTGGTGATCATACATTTCTTCAAAATTATTTAAAGATTCCAATGAATTTTTTAACATTAAATGTCGTCTTTTAGCCCTTTGTGGATGAAACAACTCAAAGCAAAGCTAATTACTAGCCTAACAACTCTTTTAGTCAAGGTCTATAGGCTCTTAAAATCTTAAGTTGCAATTGTTAATATTAGTTGGTGATGGCAGCTATGCACTAATCATACTCACAAGTTTATCCCGATTTGGGACTTGATGAGAAAATAATATTTTTAGTGCAATCTTGTAAGAATACTTTATTTTTTCAAGGAAATTCTTTTTATTGTAACTTAAATAAATCATCATATAAGTTTCCATAGCAAATATTTGGAGCTTGATTTATCAAAGGCAACAAACTCAAATTTTTGAGATTTTACATAATAACTACAAAAATTTCAAAGTTATTAGTATAACATATAAATTGAATGATCATGAAAATAAGTTGAAGATAATAGAAGATAACAATAAAATCTTATCTCAATACTATCATTACCTCAAATTGAATCAAAAGGACAAATCACATAGTGATAGCTTGCAATGATAAGTTGTTATAAAATAAGAAATACTTGAGTAGAAGTATGAATATATATAAAGATAGGGTAAAACAATGAGAAGAGAAGAAAGGAGAAAGTGTGGCAAATAAGAAAGACTAGAAGTATGAATTTCTATTCTTCCATTTCACCATATTCTTTATACAATGCAAGCCTATATATAGGTTCAGGAAAAATAGGAGTTGCATACTTCAATGATTGAATCGAAGCATAGATTCATGAATAAAACTAAGTAGATCCATGAATGAACTTACTGGATCTTTTAATGAAGCTTAGTGGGTGGAAGGTGAAATATCCATTGTTATAATAGAAAATTCATAATAATATTATAAAATAAAAAGAAAAATAGCACAATAACAAAACAAAAGTGAGAATTCCTTTTTTCACCATGTACTCTTCCATATACAAATCATTCAAACTTAGAAACATATATACAGGCTAAATGAAATGTGGGGGGTTACATTAGCCATTGGGTAGGACTAAGTGAGAAAATGAATAACACCTTCATGGACCTTTGAATGACCTTTAGTGGAATCATGAATGACCTCTTAGTGGTGAAAAGTTACAACATGAAAGAAGGTGAATGTGAAGGTGAAGCATCCACCAATAAGAAAATTCACACTACTCCCCCTTGGATGCTCACCTTTTTTGTGTTGCTTTTTTAAACTACCACATTAAAAACATTACTAGGAAATAACTAGTGGGATAAAAACCATAGTGAAGGGAAAAAGAATGTAGCATGTATAATACTCCCATTCACTTCAACGAAGCTTTTTAAGGTGTTGCATGCCTATCTTTTGTACAAGTTGTTCAAAAAATTTGTTAGGTAATGACTTTATGAAAAGATCTGCAAGATTTTCATTTGAACTAATTTGCTAAACATCTATTTCACCAGTATTTTCAAGTTCATGTGTAGAGAAAAACTTTGGAGAAATGTGTTTGGTTCTATCTCTTTTGATGAATCCCTCTTTTTTTGTAATGCAAGCAGTATTGTCCTCGAATAATAAGATTGGTTTTCCTATAATTTCTTTAAAACCATATGTTTCTTGAACATGTTGGATCAAAGATCTTAACCATACACATTCCTGACTTGTCTCAAATAGGGTAACTAATTTTGAATGATGAAAATGTGGCTACAACAGTTTGTTTTGTTGAATGCCAATAAATTGTGATACCACCATATGTGAACAAATACCCAACTTGTGATCTCCCTTTATATCCAATTAAATCTGATTTCAAGTGTTTCAAATAAAACAATCTCATGCCTTTTGTTTCTTGAAGATAATGAAATAATATTTAATGCCATTATAATGTCTTCGTGTTGGTGAAGAACTATATCTTGCTAACAAATTCACAGAAAATGCAATATTAGGTCATGTATTGTTAGCTAAATACATTAATGGACCTATGGCATCCAAATATAGTATTTCAAGTGTAACATCCCATATACTTTAGTGAATAGATTATCAATGGAGTGCTTAATGTTAAAGTCTTAGGGACTAAATTGATTAGATTTATAGTATGTGAACTTTATGTGGAATCTTGAAATAGTTGGAAACCATCCGACCATATTAGCCAAATTAGGGAGATGTGGCCACATGTCAACCAAGTGTGTTGTCTTGAATTAAGTAGGCCTTGTGGAAGACTCATGAGCTTCCTTTGGAAGATTTTAAAAACAAAATCTCTTTTTGGTTTAAAAGCTTTTAAATGACCTTGACTGCTCTCAAAAACCCA